TTTCCACGTTCCAACTTACCTGGAATTAATGCAGGATTATTCCACCAAAAACATTTAACTAAATATGTGTTTCTTAATATCATTGTTTGTGAAACTTTTGGTACAGGTAGGGGAGAGAGGAGTGCAAATGTCAGGCGGCCAGAAGCAAAGAATTGCAATTGCACGGGCTTTGCTAAGAAATCCGCCTGTCATGCTTCTGGATGAAGCCACGAGCGCGCTTGATGCAGAGTCAGAGAAAGTAGTGCAGGAAGCTCTTGAACGAGCAGCTGTGGGGCGCACAACTGTAGTAGTGGCTCACCGGCTGTCATCCATTTCCAACGCTGATTTCATCGCTGATTTTCAACGCTGATTTTTGCTGTGATACAATCTGGAAATGTAAGGTTTTTATTTATGACATTTACTATTTCTATTCTTACATTCATATTTTTAAATAAAGCACGTTTAAAATGCGAATGTGAATACTCAAGCAGTGAGACTTATAACTTGTTGAGTACCTTTACAGGTGTTGTGCAGAGAGTGTCTACTTCTCTTATATGTGTAACTTTCATGGATCCAGGTTATGGAGATTGGGTCTCATGAGGAGCTTCTGTCTAGAGGGGGAGAATATGCCTCTTTGGTTCAATTACACAAAGCTCGGAATAAAGTTCAAGGTTCTCGTGAGGACGAGCCGGATATGAGATCATACAACCCAGATCTTGCTCTGCGAGAAGAATTTGGAAGAATTCCAGATGAAGTAATCTGCACTTATGGAGCCTCTGTGATATCCTTTCAGAAAGCCATGCCGAAGCTTGAAACTGGCAAAAAATCTTACACGAACTCTGATACTGCAATAAGGAAGTTCAAAAAGCGAGGGTCGCCTTCTGTGCGAAGGTTGTTGGCTATCAATAAACTAGAATGGAAGCAAGGAGTGCTCGGTCTAGCTGGAGCCATTGGCTTCGGGTTTGTGCAACCTATATATGCATATACAATTGGAGATTTGTTAGGATCGTACTACACTAAGGATAATGCCACGCTTCGTCATGACGTGAAGATAAATGCTGCATTGTTAGTGTCACTGTCCGTGTTCGCCCTTGCGGTTAACATTTTGCAGCACTACAATTTCTCAGCGCTTGGAGAGCACTTGACAAAGGGAATTCGTGTTCGTATGTTGGCAAATATTCTTCGCTTTGAAATTGGCTGGTATGATCAGGATGAGCATGCCAGTGGAGCTGTGTGTTCACGCCTTGCGATTGACGCCAGCGCGGTATGTCTCCTTACCTGCATTTGAATCACTTCGTGCATATCCTCTATCCCCTATTAATATTGGACAGTGACAATAATGTTAGTTGTTGACCAGTATATTATCTTCATGTAGGTAAAACTAACAGATTGCTCTTTTCTGTGTAGATTCGAGGTCTGGTGGGTGATCGGATCTCTCTCGTAGTTGGAACAGCAAGTGCTTTAGCCGTAAGTTTCGTTATGGGGCTGGTAATTTTGTGACAACTCGCTCTTGTGGTGATATCCATCCAACCATTGATTATTTTATCGTTCTACTTCAAAAAGGTTTTGTTGACCCAATTTGCAATGGAGACTGTGAGGGCCCAGGCTGGTGCCTCTCAAGTTGCCAGTGAAGCCGTGGCCCAACATCGCACTGTGACTGCCTTCTCAGCGCAAGATAAAGTAAGTTTGTCTGCACTGCCAGTCTCCCTACGTCGGTTCGTTTTGTTAGGGAATTATCAGACGTTCTCCCGCCGTTCAGATTTTTGCAACAATTGAACCTTAGTTTGAGAAACCTCCGCACCTGTGCCTTGTGTTGCAGGTACTGTCTCTGTTTGAGGCAAAGCTGGAAAAGCCCAAGCGACAAGTTAGAAAACGTGCGCAAATTGCAGGGCTGTGCTTAGGAGCTTCAGACCTCGTTCTCTACGCCTCCTGGGGACTAGACTTCTGGTTTGGAGGATTGCTAGCTAGTCAAGGAAAGGCCACTTTCACAGAGGTCTTCCAAGTTTACATGATTTTAGTGAGCAGCGGGCGCCTCCTTGCGGAAGCAGGAACTCTCACTCCTGATATAGCCAAAGGATCTGCAGCGGTCGACTCTGTCTTCGAGATCCTTGACCGCGACACTCTCATCGACCCTACTGCAAACTCTGAGGAATTGGTGGAGAGAGTGGAAGGCCATATTGACGTTCGCAATGTCACTTTTTCTTATCCTTCTAGACCGAACGTTGTAGTGTTTCAGAAATTTTCTCTTACCGTGAAAGCTGGCAGAACTATGGCAATGGTCGGACAGAGCGGAAGTGGCAAGTCAACGATTATTGGCCTCATTGAGAGGCTCTACGATCCGTCTGAAGGTGTTGATTGACGGCAAGAACATCAAAAGTATGAACTTGAGGTCTTTGCGTTCACACATAGGACTTGTTAGCCAAGAGCCAACCTTGTTTGCTGGAACTCTGCGCGAGAACATTGCCTACGGCAGAGAAAATGCTACAGAAGATGCTCACAATTTCATCAGGTGAAGAGACTTCATTTCCCCAAAATTCAAATGATCAAATGCAATTAACTGAACATTACTGGTTGTGCACACTGGAATGGCAATCTGATCATCTTCTTCGACAGCTGATTTAATTTCTTTTGTCTGAGTTGCAGTTCGCTGCCGATGGTTTACGACACGTATGCTGGGGAACGAGGAGTCCAGCTCAGGTGGGCAAAAACAGCGAATTGCCATAGCTCGAGCGGTGCTGAAAAACCCAGCTATTTTGCTTTTGGACGAAGCTACCAGTGCGTTGGACGCTGCATCGGAACGCATTGTGCAAGACGCCTTCGATCGCATGATGGTTGCAAGGATCACAATTGTGGTTGCACACAGGTAAACATAAACAAACTCTCCCATAATTGGTACTAATTAGTACTTTCAAATGGTATACTCTGACACTTCACTGTGCATTTCATTCTGGCCTTTACGTAGCTTTTCAAGAGCACAGTACCCAGCCGATGAACTTTTGTTTATGAAGAATGTGAACAACATGCAGGTTGTCAACTATCCAAAACTCAGACACCATTGCTGTGCTTGAGAGTGGGGCTATTTTGAAGCAGGGCAATCACAAGCACCTCATGGCCAAGAAAGGAGCATACCATTCACTTGCATACTTACAAACGAAACACACAGACCAGATGTGAGTTTTAAGGGTAAATAGCATTGTACAAGAATTCAATTACCGCCAAAGCAGAACAATTCCTTTGTCGGCGTGGCCAGGTGGGTGAGCCTGTCGTGCAAAGTCAGTCTGACCTAGTGCATACAGTAGAGGGATACAAGCTTTAGGAGTATCAGTCAGCTGCGGAATTAACTAAATTCTCAAACAGCACTATTGCGGAAAGAGGATGCAACTGCAGCGTACTGCAAACTACCTCAGAATGTTCTTAAAGCTGAATGACATCCTGGTACATACACCAATAAGTGCCATTAAGTGCAGCTTGAGGACTAATAGTATTTTAGTGAGTGCCAATAATTGCATCCCTGCAATTCCACATTTGGAAATTAAAAAATAAATAAAGAAATAAAGAAATAAAAACCCAAATGTGTTGTCGCAGCGTAAGAAGCACTAGGCTTCCACTATCAGCAACAACTCAGAAGTTCAAATTGGTTGTGCATATCAAATTCAATGCCATAACGCAAAACGCACATGCAGCTTGAAGGGAGGCCACAATTTAAATAAAATGTAGAACATGTGGGACACATGATTTGCCCTCCACTCCTTGATTGTCAAAGAAATCCATAAGTACATAACTAAGGGTTCGTTTACACTGATTTTGGTGAACTTGAAATCAGTTCTTGAAAAATTTGTGATTGAAGACAAAAAATATTACCCTTGAAGTGAATCGTCTCATGATCAATGATAACCTTTAGAATGGCTACAAAGTCAAAAAATAAAACTAATTAAAAGTTAGATGTATAAATATACTTTTGTTTGAGCTTTGGTCAGATTTTTTCTTTGGTGGACACAAATACAAATCTAATTCATTAAATCATATTAATTATCATTGTCATCAATATCATCATGTCCGGAATTCTTCTCAACTTAGTTGGAAGTCAAGCCATTAGTACTTACAAAGAACTGAAATTAATAAAGCCACTAACCGAACATATGTGATGTGATGTTAGTTAGTTACGAAGTGATTCTAGTTGTATTTTAGAAACCTTGGAACAAGAGTTGCAATTTGCACCATCAATACAAAACTTTTGCTTTCTTTACATGTGTCCGGAGTAAAACATAGTCAAGACATCAAAAAGTTTGTAGAAAAATAAATTTTAGAGCTACAAGCTACAAGCTCTTTCTATGTGCAATTTAGGCTACAGCTAGAAGCTCTCTCTCTCTACCCCTCTAGCTATGTTCATCTTGGGCAGGAGCTTGGGCAGCTTACTCAAGTTAGCAATAAGATGCGATGGAAACTAAGTGCATAATCTCGATAAGAGTTCATTAGTTGATGACAGTAGCACCTGTTCATACGAAATTCAGCAAGGTGGCAATCTTGATGCAAAGATTGTTCTCTTTTGCCAACTCTCCAAACAGGTACACAAGATTGTGAGAATTGACACCCAAGAGGATAGGGTCCAGTACTTTTCCAGTGACAAGATGAAACCCTCACTCTATTAACGTGCACAGATTGACCAAGTTCAGATCCGTTCACGAGGATTTGGGATTCGAAGTACAATACACAGAAGCAGCAACTGTTATCTAAACGGCCCTCATTCCACTGTTCAAAGATGCCTTGGGAGAGGAGAAATCACGCCCAATATTCACTGCCGATTTGAACTCCTCCAGCGGTGGCTATCTCAAGATACGGAAACACTTTGTGTATTGTGAGTCATAAAACCAAAGATCCTACCTAGACAAGAATCTTCCGGGCACTGAAAACACGAACTCACAATTCCTAAACTTTGACGTGGTGAATAGTGCTCTGGAGAGCGGGATGCCACTGACCAAGGCGACTCTAAGTGTTACTGCACTCTTCCTTCCAAACCCCTGTCGAAGGTAATCGATCAACGTTGACGAGGCATTTCAAATCAAGGCGCTGTCAGGGATTGGACGGTTGGGGTACCGAGTAGGGCGCCCTCAATTGGAAATACCTCGATACTTGTGTCATAGAAACCAGCATACGTGTCACCGCTTTGTGACGCCACCTTAAGAGATGCATTGCCAAACACTACACCATCGCATTCTCGACACGCACTGCAGCGGCCGAAAAAATCTATCCAGGTGGCCTTGACCACCTTGTTGGCAGCTTCCCTTGCTCCATGTTGGCAACGCTGGTTGCACAGCCTACCGAGTATTGTCTAATATAACTATGCATCCACTACATTTTTGCCCACATTCAAACCTTCGGATGCTTTATCACAAGTTGAACCTGACGATAGATTATTGATAGTTAACTTTAAGGGGATCATCAGAACAGGTGTGTGTTCAGTCCCAATTCTGCCACCAGCTTGGGTTCCCCACAATTCCACGCCGTTACTTTGTAGTTAGCCAAGTTACACCACCAACCTCACACCGCCCGAGACATTTATTGTATTCTGGTAGTGGTGCATTAGATTTCTCCGTAGCTCGAAACAAGGAAAGCTGTGTTTTGTATCTAATAGGTGATCTCGATATGTGCAGGTTTCTCATCGACAAGCTTGCTTTAAAGACGGTGATTGATTGATTGTTTGATTGATTGATCGATCGATTGATAGAACCACTACCACAACCCAGCCATCGATCATGGTGTGCTGCCTGGTGTGCGACGAGTCGAGGAAGGTGGTGCGCAGCCGCCCCACCAACGGCATTTGCACCAACTGCGGCGGATCACTGAGCGCAGTTCGGGTGCGCAACATGTTCCGACTGTGCTTCGTCCCCGTGTGCTGCTCCCACAAGAGCCGAGTCATGTGTTCCCGGTGCGGCGCTCAATACCGTAGCCATTAAATCTACACACACACGCTCACCACATCATTGTTTATGTCTTCACCGCCAAAAATCAACCTCCTACTGATGCATCAGCAGCTATCGACACACCCACTTACTCACTCAGGCTCCGAAGCATCATCTAGTAGTTGGAGAATTCTTCAGTCTGGCCATTGTTTTGTCTATTTTTGCTAGAAGAATGCTTACACTGTGGATATGTAGCAACATAGCCTTTAGGGTGTCCATAACAAAGCCTTTTATAGGAAATGTGGAGAATTGAGTGTTAGCATTGCTTGTCTGATAACTGGACTTGTGATGAATTGGTGATATTGGGGGTCTCTAGAAACCCAAGTTATTTTATTTTGTACATAAGGTGCATAGGAAATAGCAGTGCATGATTATGAAGTTGCTCATCTTACCATCATCTACATTAATTTTTGAATTTTCAGAAAGTTGTGGATCCAGAATATTGACTTATTAGATGGACATTTCGATGGTTGGTTTTTTCAATTGTCTTTTTGTTAACATTAGCATTGTGCTGTAAGATCAAGTCACACGTTGACAATACTATACTTGGTTATATCAATAATTTTGAGAATGTTTAAATGCACTTTTAGGATTTAAAAAGTATAATTATGTATAATTTAATTATCAATATGTAATACAGTTTTAATAGATAAATTTCAATAGTTTTGTAATTAACTAAAAATTTGTATTTCATTTTTTTTTAATATATTTTAAATTTTTTTACAATATTTATGTTTTTCAATGAAGATTTTTTCATATTACAAATAAATTAGAATATTTTATTTTTGAATAAAAGTTAAAAACTTTGCATAATTAGTTTCAATAATAGTTGGCTTGAAAATATTTCTTCCAAAGAAATCGAATAGAAAATCTTTACATTCTTAAAATATAGTATATAAAGTATTTAACAAAATTTTCATAGCTTTATTTTCAAATAAGAAAATTACATTATAAAGTTTTTTTTTAAAGTTATATAAATATATCTTAATAACTAACAATACATATAGATTAAAAATCCTAAAGTTGATTCTATATTTCGACATTCATATTTGCATATTACAAGTGATTAATATTATGGTGTCATGATGTGGATAATTTAATTGTTAAATGGTAGACATTCATATATATATTGTGTCTACTTTAAATATATAATTAGAATGTTGTTAGCACAATGTTGTTTTAATTCATCTATTTGTTTGTTTTTTAGTAGATAATTGGCCATTAGATTGATAACCGAGAAGGTTGGTAGTGATGATTAAAAAAATAATAGAGTAGACCACATGCGGTGGATTCTCAACTTTGAAACAATTAGGAGTCATCTTGGTGATATTTTTAAAAATTAGGATAATGATAGAGTAAACCACATGTGGTGGATTTTCATCTTGGAGTCAACTTGGTGATATTTTTGAGGTGTTAAGGTGATTTAAGGGAGTGATAAGAGGACAAAGGCATGGTTGTTGTATCTTTTGTTTTGATTAATAAAAATGGTAGATTTTGGATCTTGGATTGGAGATTATTATGATTGATTGGAGTCTTTGATTAGAGCAAGCTTTTGGAATAATGTTTAGAAAAATGTGAATCTATATGTGTGCAAATTTTGAAGAAAAAAAGTAACAAAATCAAAGAGAAACAAAGTATTAAAGCATAGGAGGTCTAGTAAGTTTGCAAGTCATAGGCACCAACTTTGAGAGGTAATAACTTGGTGTTTGTTAAAGCTATGGTTATGAGACTTGGAGTGTAGTTATTTTTTCAAGTCAAAAATATATAAAAGCAACAAAGATCTCCATTAGAAGAAGCACAGTGCTTTCTAAAACCAACAATAAACTTCTTAGATTTTTTTGAGAGAGTCTGGTTCTGTTTCATTTGTATTAGAGCGAGTGTTAAATTATTTATTTTTGGTAATAGTGTGTCAATAGTCATCATATAGTCCAAAGTGAGTTGTTGTGGTCACACTGGATACTACGAGCTACTCTTATAAAATCAATTGAGAGGTGAAAAGATATTACAATAGAAAAATTACAGTATGGGAGATATAGCAGAGCAATCTCAGATGGAGGCTCAAATACAATACCTTTTAGGCCAGATAGCTACTTTGCAAGGACAAATAGAAGCATCCAAGAGAAGAAAGTCGACATCTGTTAGATTGAAATTGAGTAAGCCTAGTATATATACACTAAAACTTCAAAAAAAAAGATGTATGTAAATGGCTCTTCAACATGTGACAATACCTCCAACTATCCTAAGCAAATACCACTAAAGGAATTATATATGCAATCAACTATTTTAGGGATGTAATAGCCATTTGGTGGCAACATTGAGTTCAAAGCTATAGAGCTCAAGGTAGATTTTGTGACAGAGAGGAATTTGAGACTGGATTTAGGAATCAATTTCAGCCCATCAATACGGAAAAGATAGCACACAATTAGTTGGTAAATCTTACACAAGCTTGGTTGGTGCAAGATTATGTCTCCCAATTCAAGTCCCTATGTTTTCAAATTAGCAATGTTTCGGAAGCAAAGATGATGGATTGATTCCTATAAGGTTTGAAACCTAAAGTCCAGCGAGATATGGAGCTAAGAGATCCACAAACATTTGAAGAGGTAATTTGGATTGTAGAGAGGATTAATGCTATAGATTTCAGAAATCGTGGAGCACGATCTATAGCACAAAGTCTTATGTCGCTATCTAATATTACGGCACAACAACAAATGCTAATAGAGATTGATGTCTTACAAAGATCATTAACACCACAAAGAGAATAAATATTGGTATAAAAAAGATTGTATTTCTATTATTGGGAGCCAAGCCATTAGATCGGAGGTTGTCCAAAACATCAAAGTACAAGTATCAGCAAGACAAGGTAAGTTTACAGTCTTGAAATTCACCAAGCCGATAATGAGTTAGAATAAAAAAACGAGGCTCCCTAATAAAGGCACCATGAGCCAATATTGAGATAGTTATTATCTCTCAAAGACAAATGGCATAGCCTTAGATAATTATAAAAAGATTCAATTGGTACATTTAACGGGATTATTAAGAGGACAACCATATCAAATAGTTGTAGATTGTGGCTCTACAAAAAATTACATCTCAACTGAAATCATCAATCGACATGGAATTAAAACCAAAGAAATCAAGAGAAGAAGTATATACCTTGCAAATGACCAAGAGAACGTATTGAATGAGACGTGTGAAGAAGAAACTTTGAGATTGACAGACACCTACGTCTTAAGACAGAGATTCAAGGTGACAAAGCTAAGGTATGATGTTATCCTTAGTATGCCATAACTAGAGATGAGAAATAAGAAAGTTGATTGGGTAGTAAAGGCAATCTCTTTTAAAGATGGAAGATGCAAGGTAATTCTTTGCACCTCTACATTAAGTAAAGAAGAAAGACAACGTACAACCAAAGGCTTACTTGTAGGGACGATCTTTATGAAGAAGCAATTACAGCATGAGCAATCGATATATATGGTGGTTCCAAATCTTGCATCAATGATAGAAAAGACAATCAAAGAGATAGATTAGTCAGAACAACTCATATGAGAATATTAAGAGGTCTTTTCAACCAACCTACCTAATAGTGTACTTCCTGATCAAGGTACCTCCTTTCAAATAGAACTATTGCTTGGAGCCAAACTAGCAAGTCAATCAATTTATTGCCTAGCACCAAAAGAACTTAAAGAATTACGGAAGACATTGGACGAACTATTGGAGAAAAGCCTCATTTGAGAAAGAATATCATCATGGGGAGCACTTATACTTTTTGTATTTAAGAAAGATGGTGGATTTTGCCTTTGCATCAACTATTGAGGTCTCAATAAGCATACTATTAAAAATACATATCCACTTTCACGTAAGTATAATCTTCTTGACCAACTTCAAGGTGTGACCATCTTTAGTAAATTGGATCTTTAGAGCTGTTATTGGCAAATATCTATTGCAAGATAAGATGTAGAAAAGACGGCATTGTGTATGCGCTATGGATATTTTAAATAGCTGGTTTTACCCTTTGGTCTTATCAATGCTACAGCCTCTTTCATAAAACATACGAACAAATTATTTTGAGACCTTTTGGACAAATATGTAGTCATCTTCATTGATGATATCCTTGTATATAATAAAATCTTTAAAGAGCATGAATAATACCTATGAGAGGTGTTGCGTTGGTTACAAGATAGTCACTTCTATTGTAAGCAATCAAAATGTGAACTTTGAAAGTCAAAAGTTACTTTTTTGGGGCATGTAGTATCTTCCAAAGATGTACACATGGAATAAGATAAGGTGAAATTAGTGGAAGATTGGCCAATCCTCAAAGATGCTTTTGAAGTTTGCTCATTTTTAGGCCTTGCTGAATACTATCACCATTTTATTCGACAATTTGCTTACATTGCTATCTCATTAACAAACCTATTGGAGAAAGGTGCCCCATTTGAATGGATTGGAGCAGCAAAATACCTTTAGTAAGTTGAAGGAGGTACTCATTACTTTTCCAATATTGTAACCATATAATCCTAATCTCTCTTGTACGCTTGATATTGATGCTTTCGACTTTGCTATTGGAGGGGTCCTTCAACAAGACTTTAGTAGGGACCTTCAACCTTTGGCATATGAATCATGCAAGCTTAGAAGAATAGAGTAAAATTACTCTATACTTGATCAAGAGCAATTAGCGATTGTACATGCCACAAAGGTGTGGTGACACTATCTATTGGAAAAGCCAATGGTTGTTCGGACTGACCATCAATCCTTGCTATATGATTTACATTTGAAAAATATGAAATT